ATCTCAGACAGATTCTGAGACCTCCTGCCTGACATATTTATTTTATTCACAGAAAACAGACTAGTGATTTCTCTTGGCGTTCAGTTTATACATTCAAACAGCACAGCACTCTATTTAAACTACTGACGTGTAAATCTGTTATTTGTCCATCCATTTTCATCCGCGTATCCGGAGTCGGGTTGCGGGGGCAGTAGCATCGAGAGGCCAAGACTTCCCTCTCCCCAGCCGCCTGAGCCAGCTCCTCCGGGGGAATCCCAAGGGGTTCCCCGGCCAGGTCCGGTAAGAAGTCCGCTCCAACAGCTTCTGGCGTTTTTAAAAAGTATCCCAGGGGCACGGTAAGGGTCGGAGATGTTTAGTTTATTTAATTTCTGACTATATAAAGCAATTTCTTCGGTTTTAAAGTGTGAAGTAAACTCCGACGAAGTAAAATCCAAGCCGATCCCGTTCATGTTCATGTTTACGATCCGTGTTTGTTTAGCTTCTTTAACCTGCCAATATGGCGTCTACTAACTGAGAGTCACGTGGGGTCCGGAGCTCTATACCATCACCAGTCGTAACATGACTACTGATCAGAAATATTATCATTTCACAGATTGTTTCACATTTTTATATTGGACTAACACTTTGTTTGACTAGCTTTATTAAAAATAGAGTTATTCTGATTTATTAAAAGAAAGAGTCTTTTGTCTTCATTCTTCTCTTGACCTGGAACAGAAGAAACAGTTTAAGACCAGAGCATGAGACCTTGAGCAATATCTCATGCAGATTAGGTTTGTGTCAGAAACTTCTGGTTTTGCTTTGAGCAGAACAAAACAGAGCAGGACCTTACAGGTCAGAAATGGACAATTCATCATGCTACGCTAATGACTCATCAGGAGATGGAGAGGCGGGGTACTCAGAGTAGTTTCTGCTCTTTAAATAACAACAGACAACTACAGCTTATAAGCTTGACTCTCCCATATTCCAGTTAGAATTGACAAAACTCCTCAGATGAGAAATGAAACGTTTTAAAGAAACCAAAGATGTCCAGTTGCCTTCATCAGTCGCCTCTGTCAGTGTGCCCCAGGGCAGCTGTGGCTACACTGTAGCTCATCACCATCAGTGTGTGAATGTGTGTGTGAATGGATGAATGATACACTGTAGTGTAAAGTGCTTTGGAGTCCTTACTCTGAGAGGCGCTATACAAGTGTGGGTCATTTATCATTCATCTGAACCCTTTGGAGTAATAGTCAATAATAAAAAATACATAATAAAGGAATAAAACATATATAATTATGCTCACGTTCACACACGGGGGGGGGGGGGGGGTGTTGGGAGGGTCTCACCATTGCTAAATGACTGCATCATTGGTGTCATTTATGTTTACAATGTAGTAGGCACAGATTAAATGGACAGCCTCAACAATGGAAGAAGCCTTTTGCAGATGCACACATCTCTGACATCCATATATACTGACAGACCAGTATACATGGATGTTTTCCTCATAATATTCATATAAACACCAATAATAATACTAGGGGTTTAAAGGCCATGAAACAAAGACAAAATAAGCCAGAGGTGAAGGTTTATGCTGTCACGTTGCGGTGTTGGTAGGACCCAAAATGCAGGAACCCAAGATGACTCGAGGCAGGAGGTGATATAAGAAAATATCCTTTATTTGGATGAGCCCAGAACATCAAAAATGGATCCATAGGCAGGGAGCCAATAAGTCCAAAAATGTTCAATAACTAAGCTAGAGACAAAAACACAAAAGACTAGAAAAGACTGAGATTCAAAATGCTAGAGACTAGAGAAGGCTTGACAGAATTACCACAATGGGCTGACACAAGACAGAGACAAGACAGGGCTTAAATACACAGGGAGGAGTAATTAGGGAAAATGGCAACAGGTGTGTGGAGTGAGGGCTGGAGGGAAGACAGGTGAATATGATAATCTAACTGGGAAAACAGAAACAGAGGAGGGCAAATACCTAAACACAAAACTAAACAACAATTATCTAAAGACAGAGGGAAGGCTCAAACTAGCTGGAGGAGCACACACACACACACTTACACTGAGTTGGAGAGGACACACACACACACACACACACGCACGCACGCACGCACACACACACACACACACACACTGAGCTGGGGACAAAGAGGCTGGAGCTGACCTGGGAGGAAAGATTTAAAAGGGTAACAACATAAGACACTTAACTGAGACGCAGACAAAAGACACATGAGGGCGCTATGAGACACAGAAGGGAATCTAGAGAGGGATGGAGAAACACCAGGAGACACATGAAGGAAGACACAGATGCAGACCATGACATATGCATTCAACAAGAAATGTCATAAATGATCATCAGGGCTGATGTGAAATCTAATCCAGATCAGTCCAGGTCAGAATTATCATCTCATCTGTCTCATGATCAGCAGCAGCTGGATGTTTATGGCCACAAAATTTCAAGTGAAGCACACTCCTTTCATGTCTTGTGCTTGCTGACGGTCCATATTTCCATTTAGAAACCATTTCTCCTCCATGGATGTACCTGCCTGTCAGAGCGTTTAACCACTTGGTCAGCTGATGCTGCTGTCAGTGTTTGCGGGAATGTGTACGGTGTGGGGAAACAGTTTTAATTTCTCTCCTCTACCTGAGCTGATGGTGACGTGCAGCGCGCCTCGCGGCAGTGATGCGATTTTTGCGCAAAATGTGGCCCTTCATGGAGCTCGTGCCAGACTGTGGATGACTGATGTTAAAAGACACACAGATATCTTTTCAAAAATCTCTGAGATTTCAACTAATGAATACCTGGAAAATTTACCGGTATGAACTGTATCCTAGAAAAAGTTACTGACATGCTGAAAGGTTATATTTAGAAGTGGCGGCGGTGCTGGTACCAGTCCAATGCACTGCTCTCTTTTCAGCTCTTTGGTTCTAGATAACACACACAACTATTGATTGATGCCAAACTAACACAAAACCATCTTTGTCAACCAAAGATGACTGCAATGGGATTTTAATATAATTGGTCACAGCACCCCCTAGATAATTTTAACCTTCAATAACTTCTAAGAACCAGGTCAGAATAGCATTAAACTTGGTCTGTGTCATCACACCACCAGTGAGGTAAACATAGAGCATCCCATTGTGGTGAGACGTGTTATTTAATGGCAGGCTCAAAGAAGATGCTGAGTCAGGGTGAGGCGCAGATCAGGTTACCGTTTGTAGTGTTCGGGGTCGCAAGGGTCGAAGTTTCTGTGCCACAGAAGTGCTCAGGTGCCACGGGCTGCGGCGCCAGGCTGGAGCTGGGAGGGCCGAACGACGCTGCTTGCAGCTTTAATTAATACTTTATTTTCACACTACTGTTATTATTGTCTCTTGTTCTTGTCTTCATGATCAGTTTGTCTCTTGTGCTTTAGTGTGTCATATTGTGCTCTTTTATTTATTTTTTTTTTTCTGTACAATGTTTTTTCTTCTTCTGTTAACTGGATTAAGAGTCCGGTATAAAGACTACTGGACTTGACTTGTTGAGAACTTTTAAAGATAATGGCCAGAGGCAAATTTTCTTTGAATGACATCATGTGTAAAAAAAAAAAAAGTATTAATAACTCAGCTGAAAACTTTTTAGATTTCCATAGCTGGACTTGGGAGAAAATCCAATGTTTTTAGGGATTGTGGGAAAAAATAGTCTGAGTCCAAGTGTCTCCTCTTACAACACTATTGTCAGCAACCCGTAGCTCTGCTGTTTCTGCGTTACCACTATAGCAGATGACGATGTTTCATCAGTCAGATGCAGCTTCTGAAATCTCTGCTAGTCGGTCAGATTCTTTTCCTCTGGAAGACGACGAGGAGAACGGATAACTGGAGGGATGCTGCTGCTTCAGCCGGGGCTTTCAGCTCACTTCCAGCTCACTACAGTCCTCCTCGTAGATACCCAGATCCACCTAGCTCCATCATCTAGTGACTGTGGTCCCCTAGACTCAGTCTGTCAGTGTTTAGAACAAGTTAATGACTGGAGGCAGTCATACTTCTTCCAATTAAACAAAGACAAGACAATGTTATTGTCTTTGGAAATCAGAGGAAGAGGATGGAGGTTACTGCTCAGCTTGTCTCCAGAGTGATGTCATAAATTATTTTGTCCTAAAGTTTAACCGTCTGTTTTCTATCACAAGCTAATGTAGGAGATAGGTGTAGGAGACTATTTTCATGTTCATCTTGCATGAAACACCCAGAGTGACTGAGTGACTCGAGCTTCTCTGTGAACTTGCTCTTTAACAGGATTCATCAGGATTGATGGATAAACATAACAGAGTATCGTCAGCATAACAGTGGAAGTGTATGCTATGCTGTCTGATGATTTTATCAAACAGTAAAAAGAGTTGGTCTAAACAACAAACCCTGTGGTACTCCATAAGTAACTCTTAAGCACAGGTTCCCAGTCCTGGCCATGAAGTGCCAGTATCCAGCATGTTTGAGTTTAACCAATCAGCATGTGAGTAACAGGCTTCTGCAGATCTCGATGAGCTCCTGAACAGGTGATTCAACCACAGAATCAAGGGTGTTGGAGCAGAGAAACAACTAAAACAGGTGTGCCGTTAGCCCTCCAGGACCAGGATGGAGCACCACGGCACTGCCCTAGAGTGAAGAAGATTTCTCATTTACATAAACCAACTGAAATCTGTCGTACAGATGGATTGAAACCAGCCCAGCGCTGTTCCTTTGAAAGACCAGTAGATAAAATACATCAGCTACCGCTGCAGGAGTCCAGTGCAGCCTGAGTAAACACTGGAGTATGGATGGATGGGGCGGAGCCAGCCCACTGAATGATTAAAACAACAGCATGACTTTAAACCCGTTTTATTATCTGACTTTACCTTTTAATGTGTTGGTAAAACCCTGGTGCAGTTGTGAAGATGATTTAGTAGACAAACAGACTTCTGAGTTAAAGCTGGCTAATCATGGTTTGCCACTGAGGACCTCTAGGTCTAGCCTTCTCCTTCTTTGTTGTCCTTTAGGTTGTTGAAACGCTGAGTGCTGTGGATCCAGATGAACCAGAACCAGGTGGACACCACTTCCTGTTTCAGCTGACTGCTGATGCTGCTGCAAATCACTTCATGCTGAGAGACAACAATGGTATCATCTGCCTTAAAGGGAGAGTCCTCCCAGAAGTATTATTTTGTATGTTGCCATATTGCCCAGAGTTATACAGTCATTCTCCTGACTCGGCAGTACTCTTTTAGCTTTAGCTTAGCATAAAACAATGTAAGTGAATTGTTCCAATTAGCCTTGAGTGTGAAAAAGACCTAAATCATCAGACTGACTGCAAGTGAAGATAATGTTCACAAAGGGATCACAGACTAGGGACGACTTTAACAGCTGTAATGCCAGGATCACATCAGCCGCGAAGCGCCACAAAGTGGATTTCCCATGAAATGTGCCCGCTGCTCCTCTGTTCACATCAGGCGATAATTATCGACAGGCGCTTCTGCTCACGCCAACTGTTTTACAATCACCCCTGTGCCCTTGCTGTGTGTGTGTGTGTGTGTGTGTGTGTGTGTGTTTTCATCTCTGTAGTCTGCTTAGATGCACAAATGTTCACTTTTATAAATGGTGGTGTTTTATTTTGTTACGTTTACCAGCCCACCTCTTCTGTTTGGGTTTGACTTCCTGCCAGACTTGACACGACTAAACGATGGCTGCACGGCGCGAGCCTTCGTGGTGCTTCGCCGCTGATGTGATCAGGGTTTAGTCTCCTCTGAAAGGTGCAAGGACCTTTAGTCATGCTTTAGTCAGCTGCATGTAAGACAGCATTGACCTGTACGTAAGACAGCATTGACCTGTATGTAAGACAGCATTGACAGTGCAGACGGTCAACGGTAACATATGCTTTGTCTGTGCCTTCTCCTTGGTTACGCGCAAGCCTGATTCATCATCTTCGCTAGTTAGAGACGCACACGCACTAACAGACACGATTAGCTCTGGGAGATGTCGTGGCCTGGGGAGTGTTTCCCCGCCAGAACAACAGAGGGCGTTAGCACCAGAACGCTCACGTTTCCGGTCCACCACTGTAGCGTGTTTATAGAGTTCAGAGACTTTATAATGGATGAATTTCATCCTCCACCTCCTCTTGTGGTCGCCACCTCCAAATCCACACTCCCCGTTGTTTCCGTCCGCAAACCGAACCTGTTCTCTGTATTTTTATGCTCCTTCAGCCACTGCTGAATAATCGTTCAGGTTTTTGGACTTTTTCTGTGATCTTCAGTCTGCTCCGTGTCTGTTGCTGAATATCTTCTTGACGGGGCAATGGCAGTGCTGTTGAAGTATTTACAGGAAGCGGTGTCCTGACCAATCACAAGCTTGCAGTCTCCATCACCCTCTGTGAGGCCGTCGGAGAGCCCTTGCACCGATGCGTATGACATTGTGTTTCCGCATTGACTCAGACGGAGAAGCGCAAATCGGGTTTACCCGTGGCAGATTCCACTTGTCACGCAGAAGCCTGATTGGCTGGTCTCCCTGGTGACTTGCTACCCCATGCACAGTGCATGATGCGCATGGGCAGAGTGCCGCCGCTGTTACTCGCCATAGTGCACCTTAACAGTGTGCACCAATGGCAGCTAGTGAAACAAACGTTGATGAGCATCTTAGGTGTGTTCTTACTGTGTCGTGGTTCTAATTCCATGCTTTCGTTCTTTTTTAAACACAGAAACAGTTTTGTTTACCTGTTTTGTAGCTACAGTTTCGCCGATGGCTGCCGGCTTCTTCAGGCTGACGCTGATGGTGTGACGCGCAGTGAACCCTACTCTCGGGTTTAACGACAACAAGGTTATTTGTCCACAGCAATGTCAGAGGTCAACTAGACAGTCGGGCGTCCAACAGCTTTCCTCTGCTGGGAATGTTCTTCCTGCACCAACTATTCCCTGCTCCACCATTCCTAGCGGCACCATCTGGAACTAAGCCCAACTAGTCTCCCATGTTTACAAGAAGCTGCAACTCCAAGGTCTAATGCAGAGGTCGAGACTTTTACTCTCCTCATGAAGAAACAAGACATGAACAGAACATTGATAGATAGATAGATAGATAGATAGATAGATAGATAGATAGATAGATAGATAGATAGATAGATAGATAGATAGATAGATAGATAGATAGATAGATAGATAGATAGATAGATAGATAGATAGATAGATAGATAGATAGATAGATAGATAGATAGATAGATAGATAGATAGATAGATAGATAGATAATCTTTATTGACAGATTGTAGATGACACATAATATGATTGTAAACCTGCAGAGTGAAAGAAATCATTTACCAAACAGCCACATACTTCATCAGAGTGACCAGAAGGTACCTTTTAACTTACAGGCCAAACTTCTTCATACAGGTCAGTCTGACGCCGACATGAAGACATGAACTTGCCCTGAATTCTTATCGTATCCTGTGGTGAGTCAGAACATCATCAAGGCTGCAAAAGCCACAGGACTTCTCATCCATCCTCTCTGAATAACGTTAATCTTTCCAAAACTGACTTTATAATTTTATAAGTTTATATAATCATATTTTGTTGAATGGACAATCCCTTATCACTGCGTGATTTCCTCGGAGAGCAAATGGAAGATGCTCCGAGTCCTCACTACTCCAAACAGTCACCAACAACGTGTCCTAAAGTAACAGAATCACTCTAAAGTCTTTAGGATCATTTTATAAAAAGTTCAGTCAGTTTGTTATGTTTCAGAGACGAGTGACTGTCTAAACGTCACACGCGTTACTTTCACCAAGCAGAGGTGTTGGAGCTCTCATCAGCTGATCAGGATCTAAAGGGACAGATGTTTGAGCGCATCAGGCACAGCGAGGAACGAGAAAGATGTGATCAGGCTGGAGATCACACCAGATACGCTGCTGCAGGCATGAATCTGCGGGTCTGCAGCCGTCCCATTGTTGACGTGACAGCAGGACTTCCCTGGCTATGGAAGGTCCGCTCACCAGTTCACCGCTCACCTGTTCACCTGTTCACCGCTCACCTGTTCACCTCTCACCTGTTCACCGCTCACCTGTTCACCTCTCACCGCTCACCTGTTCACCTCTCACCTCTCACCTGTTCACCTCTCACCTGTTCACCGCTCACTTGTTCGCCTCTCACCTGTTCACCTCTCACCTGTTCACCTCTCACCGCTCACCTGTTCACCGCTCACCTGTTCACCGCTCACCTGTTCACCTCTCACCGCTCACCTGTTCACAGCTCACCTGTTCACAGCTCACCTGTTCACAGCTCACCTGTTCACCGCTCACCTGTTCACAGCTCACCTGTTCACAGCTCACCTGTTCACAGCTCACCTGTTCACCGCTCACCTGTTCACCGCTCACCTTTTCACAACTCACCTGTTCACCTCACATCTGGTTCACCGCTCACCAGTTCACCGCTTAGGCGTCAGATCTTTAATTCCTCGTCATGATCATTTATCTTCCCATCACCCTCCAGTCATCCAACTGAAACCAGTTAGTGTTCCAGATCATTCTCAGAACCTGCTCTGGTGGTAAAAGTGAGTAAATTGAAGTCCTAGATCATATTTGTGCCGTTCTACTGTCATTTTTATGGATTTTTATTCACATATAGGTTTTTACTACATTATGAGTAGAAATGCTAATAAAAACACTCAATTATACAAACAGCTACAATGATGTTCTGCTGAGCTGTGGTGGCCTCATGGAGGGGGCCATCACTAGCGCACTGCTGCTAACTACGTAAACATTCTCCCTCTCCTGATAATAACATTTTACTCTCTTTGACATTGAATGTGCTACTACTAGTTTACCCGTTTAATTATAGATTCACTAGGACAAATACAATAAAGTTTATCTCTCACCAAATAGGATATTTACTTAGAAATCCCAATGTAACCATAGAAACATGACTTGGTATTTATGGTATCCACTGATTTCCCTCTTTCCTATTCCTTTTCACTTTCCCTTTCCTTATATATTTTTGACAGTTTATATTTTTTCTCATTTTAAACAAATTTTTATCAGTTTTTTGTACTTTAATTTAGTTTGTTTATGTGAAGCGCCTCACGATTTTTATCTTGAGAGGCGCTATGTAAAAGTTCTCTTTCTTTCTTTCTTTCTTTCTTTCTTTTCATTTAGGTCTCCTCCTGGTTGGACGTTTCCAGAAAACCACACCAGGGAGGCGTCCTGGCTAGATGCCCTAGCCAATAATCATTTCCTTTTTATTTTGTTCTTAGTTGTTTTCCGGGTTGAGTTTTCAGCAGCGTGTGTCGCTGGTGATCATCTGCTCAAAGCATGCACAACTTAAATGACAATACTAAATTACTTCAGATGGTGGCAGTAATACAACATATACATTAAATCAAAAATCATTTTAAAAACAAACAGAAAGAGAGACACCATGGTCAGGATTTTTCTTTCTTCTTACTATAGCCCACCTTAACCATGCTCATCATGGTCCACTTTAACAGTGCTCACCATGGTCCACCTTAACAATGCTCACCATGGTCCACCTTAACAGTGCTCACCATGCTCCACTTTAACGGTGCTCATCATGGTCCACCTTAACAGTGCTTTCTATGGTCCACCTTAACAGTGCTCACCATGGCCCACCTTAACGGTGCTCGCCATGGTCCACCTTAACAATGCTCACCATGGTCCACCTTAATGGTGCTCACCATGGTCCACCTTAACAGTGCTCACCATGCTCCACTTTAATGGTGCTCACCATGGTCCACCTTAACAGTGCTCACCATGCTCCACTTTAACGGTGCTCATCATGGTCCACCTTAACAGTGCTTTCTATGGTCCACCTTAACAGTGTTCACCATGCTCCACCTTAACAGTGCTCACCATGGTCCACCTTAACGGTTCTCACCATGGTCCACCTTAACAGTGCTCACCATGGTCCACCTTAACGGTGCTCACCATGGTCCACCTTAACAGTGCTCACTATGGCCCACCTTAACGGTGCTCGCCATGGTCCACCTTAACAATGCTCACCATGGTCCACCTTAATGGTGCTCACCATGGTCCACCTTAACAGTGCTCACCATGCTCCACTTTAACGGTGCTCATCATGGTCCACCTTAACAGTGCTTTCTATGGTCCACCTTAACAGTGTTCACCATGCTCCACCTTAACAGTGCTCACCATGGTCCACCTTAACGGTTCTCACCATGGTCCACCTTAACAGTGCTCACCATGGTCCACCTTAACGGTGCTCACCATGGTCCACCTTAACGGTGCTTACCATGGTCCACCTTAACAGTGCTCACCATAGGAAGGGTTAACTCTGGGTTGTCCATCTGTCTTCAGACAACACGGCGTCTGTTGTGATGCAGCAAGCCGGTTTCCTGCAGCGAGACAAGTCTGTCTACTTCCTGCCGGTGGTGATCTCTGATGGTGGACGTCCATCGCTCAGCAGTACCAACACGTTGACCATCACCATTTGCAGCTGCAACCTCCAGGGAAGGCGCCTTCGCTGTAGACATGGGGCCACTTTGGACTCAGATGGCCTAAGCACCGCCTCCACTGTTGGCCTCACCTGCATGCTGTCATTCTTAGGTAAGGTGATGACATGTAGCAGTTAATACATATTAATTATGCCCAATAAGATGTGATATTCCATATAAATATGAAATATCAACCTGATTGATCTTTGAATGTTTAATCAGAAGATTCTAGGGTTCTTAGCTTGCTCAGGGATCATAAACACACTTCGTATTAATTCAGACAGAGTCAGTAAATAGTTTATAAAATGAATGTAATTATTTTTCCTAAAATAATAATTAATATATAACCAGATATGAATAATGAGATGTGGTGTGGTGTGAGGTGTTGTGATGGAAGCTAGATGTTGTAGCAACCGTTCTTTGTATCTGAGAAAAATTGTGAAATCTGGGTGTAAAAGACTTTGTTTTTTGTTATAAACTAGAGAGTTGTTTTTTAAAAACAGCATCAGACGCAATCTGTCATGCCAAGTCTACGCACCCTTGGTGTGGAGGTTCTCGTTCGATCCGGGGGGTCAATGGTCACTGCCGGTGGAGTGAACTCTGATATAAGGAACCTGTGGATAGCTCCGATAGGACCCGTCCAGTCTGAGATCCCTCCAGGTGAAGACAGGAAGCTGGAATGCTTATTTGCATCTAAGGGTGATGTTTGTTTGGCTCTCAGAAGAGCCAGTTGTCTGGTATCAGCTGCAGTGTTGCAGAGAGGCTTTGGCAGGAGGTCAAAGGAGAAGATGGTTTAAAAAATGCTTCTTTCCTGATTTGGCCGGTTCGAGGGTCAACGAGAAACTGAAATAATCAGAAAGTAAATCTAGTTTTATTAAACTGCTTTGTTATGATTTCAGGCCAAGTTTGGCCAATCAGAATTCGACACGTTTCTGAGTATTTACCAACATCCCTCAGAAAGCCACGCCGTCCTCAGATACAAGATGTTTTTAACCTTAATGAGTATCTTATTGTAATGTGTTTGAGTGTAAACAATGATGAACTTGTTAAATCATACTGATTTGTGATATCAATGGATCATTGTAAGAACAATATTCATTTCAAATTCATTGATTTAAGCACAGATTATTCAAACATTTCATTTTAACATCTTGTTCATTCATTCATATGATTATTCAACTTATGAGTTATAAACGTCATGGAAACTTCACTTGTTCAGAGTGAAGAATGTTGACGTCTGGCTTTCACGCAGAGAGTGTAGGACCTTGGGAGAGAATGTTTTGTCTTCTGTATGTAAACACATGCTGAACAGAACCTTCTGGTTCTGGAAGGCCACATAGCAGTAGCTCGTGAGGTAGAGCGGGCTGTCCAGGTATCGGAGGGTTGTAGGGTTGAAATCAGCTCCCGGCAGAGAATGTTGTTGTGGTGTCCTTGGGCAAGACACTTACCCCTTCCTGCCTGCTGGTGGTGGTCGGAGGGATGGGTGGCGCCTGTGCTCGGCAGCCTCACCTGCCAGGACAGCTGTGGCTACGACGTAGCTCATCGTCATCATGTGAATGTGTGAACGACTGTTTGTGTTGTGAAGAACCTTGGGGGGCTCTAGGATTCTAGAAGGTGCTACATCAAATACAGGTCCGGCGTTGCAGAAATATTACTACCAAGCTTGGCAGCACGAATGCAGCAAATTTCTTGCATGGGCCCGCTTCCATGAGCTCCCATAAGACGCACCACAGCAGCAAAATCAGGCTGATCTGCCTGCATGCTGGTTCTTATGGAAGTGGGTTAGGGTTAGGGTTGGGTTAGGCAGCATCCCGCACTGGGGCCTGTTGCAGGGTTCTTTCACAGAGCTTCTACTGATGCCAGTAACTTGTTTATGTCTCACCTAGCAGGTATTGTCATGGTAACCACTGTGACTAGATGGAGGAGGAAAAGGGGGGAAACTCGGACGATGGATGAAGAGCAAGACGTTCGGGAGAACATTGTTCGTTGTGACGATGAAGGCGGGGGTGAGGAGGACACTGGGGCCTTCGACATGTTGACACTGAGACATCTCAATCAAATGAACTTCATCACACCTACTGACTCAAGGCTCAGAAACAAGCTGCTGCAGGAGTTCATCAGAGACCGGCTTCTGGAAGCAGACCACGACCTAACAGCGCCCCCTCCTGACTCTGTGCACACTTACACCATCGAAGGCGGTGACTCAGCAGCGGATTCGCTCAGCTCGTTAGACTCGCTGACCTCATTAGAGTCTGAGCAGAGTTACACCTTTCTGAGGGAGTGGGGGTCAAGGTTCAAGAAGCTAGCAGAACTCTATGAGCATCGCCCGGGAGCGGGCGTGGCCTAATGACGCAAAGGTGTAGGCAGCGGGACCAGCTGGTTGAGCAGAGCCAACATGCTTCTCTGCAACGCTTTCTTAGGGGTCTAGTGTTACAGCTCTGCTGATTCAAGTGACTGGTTCTGATCCAGTATTCACTACCAATAATCCCAAGTCCCCCCAACTCACTAGTGGTCATGTGATCAGTGATGTCACAGCAGGGCCGAGCAGAGTCCTCTGCAGGGGCAGCTGCTCAACGTTAAAAGGGGTGCACGGAACAAGATGTGTTATACAGCAGTCCCTCGTTTATGGTGGGACCTCACCCACACACCCCAACGGGTACACACACACACACACACACACACACACACACACACACACACACACACACACACACACACACACACACACACACACACACACACACACACAAGAACACTCCAGAATACCCGTTTCTCAACTGCTTTATTTCCAGCATGTGTTAGGGTCCACAGCAATCTCCGGGTGTGGAGACACGCGTCTCCTCCTGCAGGAGCGCTGCAGCCGTGGCTCGTCCACAGACCAGCGCATCACCACAGTGTTATAAACCACCCCGTGACACACTTTCTACACTTTTCTCAGACAGGCGTTTTCACTTTCTCTCTTGTTTAAGTCTCTTAAAGTCCAAACATCTGGACGCAGAACTGTAAAAAAGCATCTATGAAACTGTGAGGCCACGAGAGGTGAACGTGTTGTAGCAAGGGACCACTGTATCTTAAAATCATAATTCCAGTTCGTTCTTACTCATTTTCTTTGCTCATGTGCATCATTCAGAAGGCCATCTCAGTCCCAGGATGTCTCGAGACATGCATGAAGCTGCTGTGGAGCTGGAGAGCTCCTTCAGCAGCAGACTGCTCCATCCTGGGAGCAGGAAGGAACACGACGATAGCTCCTTCCTCCCACCAGATGGTACAATTTACAACCACCACTGCTCCCAGCAAAGCCAGTAAAAGCCTCCTTGCTGCTTTGCGTTTGTAGCCCAGTTCTGTTGTCCTTCTATCTGCACATCATGTTAGAACCTTCTGCTAGTCACCTGATTCACCTGTTCAGCAGCTCTGCAGAAGCCACTTAAGTGTGTTGAAGCAGGATCCTTTGGGTCCCCGTTACCCTGTGAGGGATCCAGTTTCTTACCCAGGTGTTAGACTGGAATCTTGCCATGGTCATCTGGTCTGCTTTGTTAGGTTGAAGCTGCTGTTATCTGAACCGTGCCCTGAAGGACGTCTGCAGTCAGACAGGTAACCGGCACAAAGACAAGGACCCCTCCTACTTATCAGACCCTTTGCAGAGGTATACTCCTGATGGTCAGCCCAGCTGGAGCCCAGCTTTAGCCCCTCAGCTGTGGAACTCCCGTGGGTGAATGATGGTTCTTCATTCTGCAGATGAAATAGAGCTTGTTTTACCTCAGCTGACACGTTTCTACTGCCGCCTTCATCACAGCTATCGCCGATGTTGGAGGTGTCACTTCTGTTTATCTGAAGACAGCGGAGGACGATATGTCCCTCTACTGTCTCATGTGGTCTAGCGTTAGGGTCCTTCATCCCTGTTCGTGGTCCCTGGTCCACGTCTCCTTATCTCGACTCGACGGCTACTTTGATCCATCTTTTGTATTTTTGGTCATCTGTGTTTATGATCCGTGTGCTGTCCCGGTAGTGTTAGGGTGATGGTTGTCCTTGTGCAGGGCTCTGGTACACCACAGTTTTGTTGGACGTTCTGCCTCTTGTTTCTTTGCTCTTGTGCCTTCAGCTTGTTCCTTCTCACACTCCTCTCTCCTCTCTATGGTTCCTGTGTTGAGGTAGCGTCCTGTTTCCTATGTATGGTTTATTGCAGCGTTGGCGTGGGATTTCATAAGGGACTTCACGTTTTTGCTCCGATATCTTGTCTTTTGGGTGTACTAGACTGTTTCTGATGGCCATGTGTGGTTTTGCTGGTGTGTTGTGTTTGTTTCATCATGTTGTTGTTAGGTTTGGTGGTTTCAGCAGGATCCAAATGCAGTGAGTCAAGTGGAGCGATGATCCAGAAGCAGCAGGTGAGGAACACTGGGAACCCAGAAGGGATGAGAGGACTAACACTTGAACCAGATGAAAGGCTGAAGGTCAGAGGAAAGGGTGAAGATGGGGAAGAGCGAGTCAGGGTTAGGGGCAGTCGTGGTTCAGGTGTGAGACATTTCGTCCACGTGAGGTTTCCATAACTGGAATTTGCAGTTGGGGGGTTTGGTTATGGCTCTTTGCTCTATGTCCTCCTTGAAGAACTCCCAAAGGACAGCTGATAATGGGTTTGCAGTTGTTTGTAGATGGTTCCATCGTATGTAGAGTTGGCTTTGGGTTCTGTTAACGGTTCTACGCTGTGAGGATTGTCTTCTCTGATTCTGTTAACGACTAAATCTGTGCTGTTGGGTTGCTGTTGTGGTGAACAGGGATGTGATGTTGTGTGAGATTAGTGAGTTGTTGTTGTTGTTGTTGTTGTTGACACACTGGAGAGTGAGTAGTCTTCTGCTGCCTGCAGATAAACGGAGACAGAAGTAACGCCACCAACACCAGCGGGGCTGATGTGTGTGTGTGTGTGTGTGTGTGTGTGTGTGTGTGTGTGTGTGTGTGTGTGTGTGTGTGTGTGTGTGTGTGTGTGTGTTACGGCTAGGGTTAGGGTATGGAGGTATAAGATATGGAACTCCTGACAATGAGGGTCAAGCAAGCTTCAGAGTTTTAAGCTCCTCCCCTTTACTTAATGCACCAGTGATGTCATCCTGTTCATATTTTAATGTGATTTTATTGTTTTCACTCTTGTTGACTTGTGATTTGAGCTCATCTAGATCAGTGGCTGCTACAGTTACGTGTGGTTTTGAAGCTATTGGTGCAATAATCAGCACTTTGGTTATTGTTGGTGGCTGTAAAGTCTCAAATAAGTGGTGATGGTGATGATGATGATGATGATGATGATGATGATGATGATGATGATGATGATGAAATTCAGTGAATTCATTTGGACCGTAGTTTTTTATTTTTTGCATTTCTGTGTTTTTTGTATTTGTGTTGTTTTTTATGTATTGTTCATCTTTGCTCCTGTTGTAATTGCTGCTGTGACACAAAACAATCCCCATGGAGGGAAAATAAAGAAATTTCTGTTCTGTTCTCTAATTAAATCCCGCCCATCCCATAATTCCTTCAACTATAACTGCTTTAGGACATGTTGGGTGGGTGGATTAGAGAACACTACCTGTTAGTAGTAGGACCTCCTTATTTACTGTTCTCCTCAATGTAATGCATATCACACACACACACACACACACACACACACACACACACACACACACACACACACACACACACACACACACACACACACACACACACACACACACACACACACACACACACACACACACACACACACACGCAAGCACCCTAAGGCATGCACAGAGGTGGTGTTTAGTAAACAAACAGCTGAAGACAAAAAATTATTTTTGGGGTGAAAAAGACTTGAGTTTAGCCTCCAGAAGGTCCCCAAGGTGGGTTGTTCCAGGGGTTAAAGGTCAACCATCAGTTGTCCTAGTTTAAGCATCAGAAGATGTTTACAGGTGGAGGAACAGCTTATATGCTGCCTTGTTCTGGGTTAAAGTGTCAGGAACAGGAAACATAAATTAGTTTATTTGGGTCTGTATCTTCTGGGTCAATCCTAGGAGAATCCTGGAGGTCACGACTGTTCTGGTGAGTCTATCTGGCCCTCAGCCCTGAAAACATCCACCAGGTTTGACCCCAGACCCCCCAGATCCACCTGTTTTCCTCTCATACAGATGTGTGATGCTGCTCCGGACCTGTAGAGGGCAGTAGCGACTGCTCTCAACACTAAACAGGAGGACTGGACTAGATGCATGATTTGGAATTGTAGGATGCCCAAGGAAAGTCCCGCCTTTCCCGCCTCTGATTGGCTGGAAGGACTCTCCTACGATTGGCTTTCTCATGTAACAGCAAACCTTCAGGTTTTATGTCTGCAGCCAGATCTCGAGGAGGACCTGACAGCAGTTCATCGTCGTGACTGACTTGAGTAGGCAAACTGTGCCCATGTCAGGGTGTCATTTTAATTTGGGCAGTCTAAGGCACACCTGTACATTATTCATGCTGTCATCATCTCCTTGACATGCCACATCTGTGAGGTGGGATGGGTTATCTTGGTAAAGGAAAATTGCTCACTAACACACATGTAGACAGATTTCAGATGTTTGAGTTCAGCTCATGAAAAATGGGAGCAAAAACAAAAGTGCTGCATTCATATTTTTGTTCAGTGTAGATTCAAAATTGGCTACTGAGTAAAAATCTGAACGTAAACCTGTTAGAAAGGGCGGATCTATTTCCACATCCTATATCGAGAGACATCATTCCTCATTTTAAAAATTCAAGGGGGAGGACCGTACAAAATCGCTCGGAGGGCCACAATTGGCTCTTGGTCCGCCCTTTGGACATGTCTGCTTGGAGTGAACAGATATAAAGTAAGTCCAACCGTGTGATAAATACAGCCAGATTTATTATAAGTTCACATTTTACGATTTTCATTGTTTTAAATAGAAGAAACAACAAACATGACTTCACAAAGCAGGACAGAAACTTTGTTATAGCGCTAAGTTCATACTTTTTTCACCAAACTCTCCAACAGCTGTTCTGGAAGTAGCCAATCGTAGCAGAGCCCTTCTAGCCAATCAGAGGCGGGAAAGCTGGGACCCTCCTTAAACATCCTACGATTCCAAGTCACGTGGACCGCACCGCTGTGTTTCCGGGCTCTTCAGACCGTGCTGGTTCTGCGTCGTGGTCCTGACTTCAGGTCACAAAGTGCCCGGTGTTCCTTCAGGTGTTGTGTCGGGTTCAGAGGAGATGCGGGGCCGCGCGGGTCCCTGCGAGGCCCTGCTGGTTTGGATTACGCTGCTGGTCTCTGCGGCCCCCCCTTTAGCAGCCTGGGATGCGGATCTGGAGCTGCTGGACCTGGTGGAGGAAATCCCGCAGACATTCTACCAGTTCCTGAACATAGATCAGGTGCGTGCTAACTGCCAACGGTTCACCGTTTCCATGGTAACCCCGGGGAGCGCCACGTACACACTCAGCTCGTTAAGCTAGCTAGCGCGCGCAGTTCAAAGGAAACCGAACCGAATCTTTTCCGTTTCAGATCTGAGGCCGGATCTCATGGACATGTTTATTTATTTATTTATTTCTAAGGAGGATAAAAAAAAACACTCGAGATGAAGCATCTCGTTTACAAGCGGGTCTTCTTGGAAACAAAGATGCTAATGCAAAGCCAAGATAACAGCGACGATCTGAATTCAAAACGCAATGACAAATTAATACTACCACAGTTAAAATATTAGTAAATAAACAAAACAAAATTAAGAAAACAAAGACGTTGGCTAATCAAATAGAATAAATTGTGTGAACAAATGTACATTTACATAAAAAATATGATGACACAACTAAATGGTAGAGAGACTGCTTATGCACAACACAGAAATCTGGGATAAAAGTGTAGAATGACTAAATGATGAAACCATTGTAATTCAAAAATTTCTACAGATGGGTAATAAATGATCATGAGTCAGGATTTTAAACTGTCTAAAAGAAGTGGTGGATCTCATAACAGGTGAATTATTCCAGTCAGATGGAGCTTTAGCAGAAAAAGCAGCTTCCCTGACGCCGTTCCACAACGGAACAATGAAGGAGGTTTACTGAGTTCTATGAATATCATCATGAATGCATGGTGGCGCAGTGGTTAGCACTGTTTCCTCGCAGGTCGTAGGTTCGAAACTCAGCTGCAGCCTTTCTGCGTGGAATTGCGTGTTCTCCCCATGCATGGGTTTCCTCCGGGTACTCCGGTTTCCCCCACAGATCACAACATGCCCTATAGGTTATAAATTGTAAGTCGCTTTGGATAAAAGCATCTGATAAATGAAAAACATAAACATACCAGAATGGTAAGGAGGAAATTTTAAATAAAAACAACCAATGAAATCTCCTCCTAGACTGTGTGTGTGTGTGTGTGTGTGTGTGTGTGCGTGCGTGCGTGCGTGCGTGCGTGTGTGTGTGTGTGTGTGTGTGTGTGTGTGTGTGTGTGTGAAGCGCTTTGGAATCCTCTGACTCTGAAAGGCGCTACGCACATGTGGGTCTCCCCACACATGGGCTGAGAAGCCTTATGGGCCATTCCCATCTGTACCGGGTCGGCCCGGGCCGGCTAGCCCCAGCCTGGCCCGTTTGATTCCACACATCCTTGTCTTAAGCCCATGTGGGCTTATTCTACCCACCAATCAGAGGCTTGCTCTAATGGAAGGTGTGAATTTGCTCTCAGCAGTGGGTGTGTTGGCCCTGGTCGGCCTGAAGCAGACCCCCTTGAGAAGCTGAGAATGAGCCTTGGTTGGCCCGGAAAAATACCAGGCCACCCAGATATGTAAACAACCTACGCTACCCGGCCCTGGCCGACCTGGTACAGATGGGAATGGCCCATAAAGGTGTGTTATGGTGGTGCCCAATGTAGCGTTGGAAGAGTCCAACAAGGTCATTTGTCTGCAGCAATGGCCATTTGCGAAATGAGCCAGTTCTGCGCAGATTATATCACCGGTGATCGGCGCTCATTGCATGCCGGTTAGATTTGTGTCCGACTTGACGCCGACTTGCTCTGACGTCATGCATACGTAGGCAACGATAACCTCGTGAGATCAAGGCGGCTGCAGATTTTGGAGCCAAGCCGCTGCAGTTGCTCTCCACCAGCTGCAAATCCTAGGGGATGACGGGAAACGCCTGGCTCTCACCTGATCTAAGATCTGATTGGTTCACATTTTGATCCAAACATCCGGTGGTAGAGCATGAAATGTTAGTTGGTCACATGTATTCTGTAAATCATGTTACGTTGATGATGACAACAATATAGGCCATAGAGAAATGTGTTTTGTGTTCTTTTGTCACGTTTCCTATGAGCACACTAAAGCTACAGCTGATAACCTTTACCTATTATTACAGTCATGTTTCCATATACAATATATGATATCCACAAGCATGTGAGGATGTGTTTCGGTTGCTAACAGGCACCAGAATTAAAATAACAAGTACGAACGCTAACGCGACATCTTCATCCATCGTCACCCCCGAGCTACACATGTAGGGAAATCTGTTCGGCTTAAACACCGGCTTTCAGCCACTCCCCCTGCTGTATCCGTCTGTCTTCCAGGCGAGGCGCTGCTCAACTTGAACAAGGCCAATGTCAGAGGTCAACAGATAGGGTGCCACATCTGACCTGCCTGTTTAGGGGTTAGCGTTAGCTTCTAACCTTGCTGTTAGGGTTAGTAGGGTGACAGATAGATAGATAGATAGATAGATAGATAGATAGATAGATAGATAAACTTTATTGTCCACCTCGAATTGAGGCAGGAATTCGCCTTTGACATGGCTCACCTTACAATACAATCCATAACGCATTCACGCAAATATATAAAAAGACAATTAAAAGGTATTAGAATGTAATCATCGTAAAAGAAATAAAACTTTAAGAATTCAAAATTGTAATTGCGGTGGGAACAAATGATTTCTTATAGACACCTTTCTTGGCCAATGGAACCCTGAACCTCCTTCCTGATGGAAGTAAATGAAAATGTGGGTTCAGTGGATGGGTTGGGTCTGCACTGATCAGGGTAGCCTTCCTGTGCACTGCTCGCTCGTGAAGAACAGAAAGTGGGATCTGAGGAGAACCTGTAATTTTGCTGCCTAATTTAACAATACGAGACAGTTGTGTTTTGTTTTTAACTGTAAGAAAGTTATACCAAGCTGTAATATTGAAAGTCAGAATGGATTCAATCAGTGATTTATATACAACTGTTAGGATGTCCTTGTTCACATTGAGTGCTCTTAGCTTCCTTAGCAGGTGGAGTCTTTGCAGCGCTTTCTTGTAGACACCGTTGCTGTGATTTGCAAAGGACAGGTGGTCATCAGTTTCTGTTCCCAGATACCGGAATGACTGAACCTGCTCCACAGGCTGACCCTGTATGCTGAGGGGTTTGAACAGGGACGTGTCTGCCTCGCTGACTGCCCCACAGCACATTTCTTTAGTTTTTGAGATATTCAGCCCCAGGTGAAAGTCTCCAAATGTCTGGAACAGATTGCTGACCGCCTGCTGATATTTAGACAGGTCCTCCGATGTCTTCACTGATGCCACCAATGCCACCAGTCGTCTGCATACTTATACAGGGCCATTCTCTCACTATGGCACCGGATGTTTGTGTAGACTGAGGAAAAGCACTGGAGACAAAACACAGCCTTGTGGCAGTCCAATGCTAATGACACTTTTCGTGGATTTGAATCCTCTTAACAACACTTGTTGTGGCCTGTCTTTCAAAAAGCTGTGGATCCATAAAAGCAGCTTTATGTGGAGATGGAGATCTGAAAGCTGTTCCAGCAAAATGCTGGTGTCTACTGTATTAAATGCAGAAGAAAAATCCATGAATAAGATTCTTGTGTATGGTTGTGTAGAGTCCATGTGTTTAGTGACAGCATTTAGAAGAGTGAGACTTGCATCCTCTATACCACGTCTTGCCTTGTAAGCAAATTGTAGGGGATCCAGCTGGTCCGAGATGAATTTTGTCAAGTGTCCTCCCACTACCCTTTCCATGCACGTGCACAGAACTGATGTAAGGGCCACAAGTCTAAAGTCCCCCAGTTCTTTTGCATGAGCTTTCTTGGGGATCGGAATGATCACAGATTCTTTCCATTGCTCTGGAACACAGCCAAAGTCCAGAAGGAGCTGGAAGAGTCTGGTGAGTACCCCACCTAGCTGGGTGGAGCATTCTTTCAGGACCCTGCCACGGAGCCCATCAGGGCCAGAGCTCTTGTATGGGTTGATGCAGCACAGGATGGTGGTGACCTCCTCCTCGCTGATGGTTGGCGCTGGTTCAGTGAGGCTCTGGTTGGGGGGGGGGGGGGGGTGCAGGTGGAAAGAGGGCGAATGCCGTTGAAGCAGGCAAAAAAGACGTTCAGCTGCTCTGCCAAGGAGATGGAGTCATAGCAGTTGACTTGCGGGATCTTAGGGTCTCTTCCATTACATCCTCTTTTCCCCGGACATGTCCACTTTTCACTCTCTGTCCGGGGGGTTTCTTGTATTGATGAAAATGGCCAGTTTTTCATCCAGTAGCAGGGATCGAATTATGGGGAGCTGGATATCCTACACATCCAGGGAGAGACGGAAACACTGTTTGTACCTATATTACATCATTTATGGACTCTCAGCGTACCGGGGTTCTTTTGAGCAGAGAGCACAGAGAGCGGCAGAGCGCTGATTGTCGGTGAGCTCCAGGCAGCTGCGTCCAGCGTACGGTCCATTCTCAAAGTGGCACAACCAAAAAAAAAAACAATAATGAACACACGATCGTTCATGTCTGCACATGTTCTCTACTTTCTGTCTTATTTGTGCCTGAAGCACTCTGCTACTACGAAGCGGATCACCTGTGCTGCGGTGATTTCACCTCACTGACGCAGCATCGAAACGCGCTCTCCGTTTTGCGGTCAGGAGATCCCTTTGATCTTCTCAAAAGTAACTGATGAGGTGAAAAGGTAAGAATCCAGGCAACAGTTTTTCTGGAGAGTTTAGAGGAGATGCAGGAAGATGAGAGACAGACAGGACAGGAAAATATAGTTCAATAAAAACAAGAAAACAAAACAAAGTGTTGAAAAGTAAAATGTAGGTAGATTTATCTCCACTACACATTTTTACCTGTATAAAACAATAAGTTACACACATGTAATATTTATACATTTGATACAATTCAGATCACCTTCAAAACTCAGTCACACACCCAGGGCCGTTTCAAGGCATTTTGGGGGCCAAGGCAAACATAACACCCCCCACCCCTATAACTGAACCCCCAGAAGCCTCTGTGTAATTCCTACCCTCTCCAGGAGTATTAGTTATACAGTGTTTGTAAAAACACCTCAGACATTACTGACATGTTCTAATATTATCAGATGTAAAATTAACTTATCAGACATGCTGTCTCATCTGCTTC